GGTAGCCTAATCTACATGCCTCTGGCGACAGAGGCATGTAGTCTAGACGTACCCTTAGAGAGCTCATTGGCATGGGATTTTGTGTAGGCCAAATGTACACTGGGTTAAAAAAAATTAGACAATTTAATAGAGGATAGGTCAATTCATGGCTATTAGCTAAAACGAGATCAGGGATTAAACTCCATGTTCTGGGTTTCTCTACACCTTGAACTGCCAGAAGCGGGGTCTAGACAACATATGAATCACTTGAAATTGCCCTGTTCTTTTCATTTCCTCTGAAGCAGCTGGCACAGGTCAGTGTCAGAAAGACCATTGGGCAGACATGTTCTTATATCTCTAAGAAGTTGCTGACAGGCAGAGAACCTGAATATGAAAGAGATAGCTTAAACACAGTGAAGCTCCTTGAAGGGATACAGAAGCAGCAGTGTGGAATGGCAGGGGGCTCCTCGGGAGTGGGGCCGGATAACCCAGGTACCCTCTGGCAGCAGCCTTGTCCTGCCCTCCTCCACTCCTCTTCACTGCCTCTGTTTCCTGGGCCACTTCCCCTATGACCCTTTGCAGCTCCTGGCCCTAGTAGCAAGGCCAGCAGCCTGGCAGGTATCAGGTAGCAGCTTTCCTCTCTAGCTCCACTGATCCCGGCCAGTACTGCTCTATCAAAAGTGCCTTCCCAGGTACCCTCTGGCAGCAGCCTTGTCCTGCCCTCCTCCACTCCTCTTCACTGCCTCTGTTTCCTGGGCCACTTCCCCTATGACCCTTTGCAGCTCCTGGCCCTAGTAGCAAGGCCAGCAGCCTGGCAGGTATCAGGTAGCAGCTTTCCTCTCTAGCTCCACTGATCCCGGCCAGTACTGCTCTATCAAAAGTGCCTTCTCTGAGGGAACCAGTCCTACACCCTCTCTGGTCAGGACTCAACTGCCAACTCTGTACTGAGCAGCTCCTTTTATACAGGGCTGCCCCTGCAAGCTACACCCTGAGGGGCTCTTTGAAACCCTCTCCCTGATTGGCCCGGGCTCTGCACAAGCTCCCTCCTGCCTGCTTTACCCCCTTTTGGCCAGTGTTGAGCAATCGTCCCACCACAAACCACATCATTTTCTATGTATAGTTAAGAATATGTTTTCCAATGTACATTACCTTGCATTTTATCAACACTGACATGGACCTTTAGAGGGTCACTGCCAGTCCATTTGTTCCTAAAATATAACCCTCTGAAAAATTCTTGTACATTGGTAGTAAAGAGATTATGTTCTACATTTCAAGTTTCTTTAGTAACATAGCAAACCAAAAGAAACAAACAAAAAGAATATGAGCCATAAGAAAAAGAAATTATAGGCAAAGAGTTCATTTTCAGGCTCTTAAGAAGGCTTTCCAAACAATAGAGAATAACCCTTTTTAAAGTACTTTACCATACAATGTTATTTAAAAATAATTACAATGTCCTCTAAAAATAATAACCCAGAAGCCTTGTTTTAGTCCTTATGGCTGCATCACTCATCTCAATAAAAATATCCAATATAAATGTCATAACTCTGTGGGGAAATAAAATGGCCAGCATATGAGAGTCAGTGATAAGTGATGAGAAACATGTTGTACCATGTATTTCCAAAGGTGTAATAACCCCCAGTAAATTGTGCCATCCTCATACAAATGGAGCCAGTTTCAAAGTTCAAGTAAATAGTACTTGTCATGATGAATGAATCTGGTTGTTTTTAAAGTTACTTTTAGTAAATAGCAAATTACATGTAAATCAAGATGAAATGAATTTATTACATAGCACATGTCATGCCAAATGTAAATTGTTCTTTCTTTGAGGGGTTATTTGTATCTAGTAATATACTTTTTAATGTACTTGGGTTTGGAATTTTTTAATATGCTTGGGTTTGGAAATGTTTTACTCACTGCTTCAGGAGCTATATGAAAACTTCTAATAGTCATGCTGGGCTTTCTGCTATTTTCAGAAATATGATGGTGACAAAGTCCTGCTCATGGATAAACTAGAATTCAAACACAACTTCACTTTGGGGGCATGGGAAAACTGTGTTGGTTAAGTGGAAGAATAAAGCTTTGGTGCTTCTTGCTGTCAGAAGATTTAATAGATGTTAGAGTTTTACTTACCTGGAAGTGTGGGAAAGTAGGGGATGTCCTACTTTACACTGTCATTCTACGTGTCAGAAATCCCATGTATGTTTGTGTTTCTATCTGATATTTTTGCTACCACTCTTTCGCTATTCATATAAATTCATGTATAATTCAGGTAGCAGGGCTGTTTTGGAACCTGAAGGAACTACTGAAATGCAGAAGGGAATTAGATCATGTATTAGATCATGTCTTATTAGTATTGCTCAGCATTTCTGCCGTAGTCTGACAGAGAAGAATACTGGGAAAGGATAAAGAGATAAATAACTTTGGCATCCATGCAGCTTGTGAATGATTCATGAAATGAAACCTATAAACTCCTGCTCAGAACAGCAAACAGTGCTACAGGTACCAGATGTTGATAGGTCCACAGGGATATGCAGACTGGAGCCAAGACCTAAAAAACAACCCCCAGCAAAGTGGAATAAAATATTGTTCTAAATCCTTTGTTTCTGTATTACTACTATTTGTGTTTCCCTCCTGCAACTCTTTCCAATGCTTTGGGGGAAAATATTTGGAAATACCATCATTCCTGCCCACCTCCCCACCTTTCCTTTACCCCTCAGTAGAGAGAACCAACACTGCAGTATGGAATGGAATGCTCCTTTCAGTGTTGATCTGTCTTGTGCTTGTTTTTTATATGAGTGCTTCACTGCTGGGGGAAGAAGCAATTCATGGCATGCAATAGCCAAAGTTAGTAATGGTGCTGATGGACTCTGGAGTAGCCAGTGAAGGTCACAATGGTCAAGGAGCTTGGGGAAAGGAAGCAAATGGAGGAAAGAGAATGAACTTACCTGACAATATTTATTTAATGTGATCATGGATTCTGACTGTTTGTGTGGCTCTGTGATGTCCAGCGTGGGATTGGAATTGCGAGATCCTGTTTCTGAATGAATTTCTCTGGTCTCTTACTTGCATAATCCTTCAGAGCCACACAATGGTAGAAAGGCAGGCCAGATGAGCAAACGTCTGTGCTGGGTGTTTGCCCAGTATATTTGCATTCTGTAGGACATGGGAGGATTGTGGAAATCTTCCAGGCTTAAAGAACGGAGCAAGTGGCCTGGCTTATGGAGCGACAAGTGCTTCAAAAAACAGAAAAGAGGAAAACTGATAGGGATTGGAGGTGGGAAAATACTAGGGGACAGAGAGGCTACATCTAGACTGGCATGATTTTCCGCAAATGCTTTTAACGGAAAAATTTTCCGTTAAAAGCATTTGCGGAAAAGAGCATCTAGATTGGCACGGACGCTTTTCTGCACAAGCACTTTTTGCAGAAAAGCGTCCATGGCCAATCTAGACGCGCTTTTGCGCAAAAAAGCCCCGATCGCCATTTTCGCGATCGGGGCTTCAGAATGGTTTGGGTGCCTCACTGAGTTAAAATACTAGAATGCACATCATCAGTCTTTTCTTCGTTAACAGCTCGTAATGTTCTTAAAAGATGGAGAGAGCAACTGTTTACTGCTTTGGCTTAGTATTCCAGACAGCCAAGCCAAGGTCAGAAACAAGTTCATCCTTAACACTGTCAATACAGTATCCTTCCCTGATTCTGAATGTGTGATGACAGTAGGCTACATCTAGACTGCAGGGTTTTTTCAGAAGAAGCTTTTCCGGAAGAGCTCTTCTGAAAAAACTTCTTCCAAAAGAGAGCATCCACACTACCAAAGTGCATCGAAAAAGTGATCTGCTTTTTCAAAAGATAGCGTCCACACTGAATGGTCACTATCTCGCATTTAAGCTGTGATTACTATGGATGGAGTGGCCACCAGGGCACCTGTGCTTTTTCTTCTTTCCTCTTCTTTCAAAGGAACTCCCTCTTCTCCATCCACACACACCTTTTTCCGAAAGAGCTCTTTCAGAAATGTTGGCAAAACCTCTCTGTTCTTTTGATTTTTTTTTTCAAAAGAACTCGATTATAGTGTGGATGTAAGTGAAGTTTAGACATAGCCGAAAAGGTCTTCAGAGGAGAAACTGGGTAAAAGATAAATCTCATCATCACTATACTGAATTATGGTGATTTTAGCCTTTTTGTCATGGGTGAATCAAATGAGTTCCATAGCTTGCAAAACCTCCCCCCTCCTGCAGCTAATGTAAAAAAAGGGCCGAGTTTTCTAAAGTTCTCCAGACTTTGAACTGCTAGAGTTTGGCCTTCGGCAGCAGCTGTTCCACTCCAGGCTCTGAAAGTTCTTTGCTGCTTTCTCCTGGGCCCTTCCATTTCCCAGCTTCTGGACTGGCCAACCCCTTTTACCTGGTCAGCAGCCAAATTTCTCCTGCCTCCTCCAGATCAGTCACAGACTGTAACAAAGAAGAAGGTGCTGCTCCTGTACTTTCTCATCCTGCCCTGCAGATCAGAGATGCCTCCCATAGCAGGTATCCTACTCCTGCCCATGGCCACTGCAGTGAAAGAATTAGAGAATGAGTACAGGCCTATGTGGAAAAGGCCAGTGAGGATGTGGCCCGGTCAAAGAGAGCATGACAGGTATATGGGATAAGGGGGCCTGAGAAGAGGACTAAAGAGGTCCATATAGTAGCCTTATGGGGTGGGTGATGAAACAGAGAGACTCTGAGGGCCATCGGGCAGGGAGTTGTATGTGTGTGTATCTTACAGAAATGCCCAGAAAATGGAATAAGAGATGCACCGAAAGGCCTATGAGGGAGGGCTCAGAGAACAAGAAAGAGGTTATGGGATAGCTCATGAAAATTCAAAAAGGAACTGGGTCTTGGGAGACCCAGGGGTATTTGGAGAGTTCTTACTATCCCAGAAAGGGTATGGGTGGGGTGGGTGTAGAATCCAGAAAAGAAGGTCCCAGTAAGTGGTGGTACATGGGCCTATGTGGGCCGATAGATATGTGTGTGTTTTTTGTGGAGTGAGTAATGAGCATGGGTAGATAATGTTCATGCCCATGACTTTCTCCCTGTGGTGGTACTTATGAAGTGAAAGATATTGGTTAGAGCTGAAAAATATTAGGAACAGAAGAATAGCATCTTCCAAAGCAGAGTTTGAAATTATGGGACACTAGAAGGAATGGACAGGAGCACTAGTGCTTAGGAAGCATTACTCATTCTAAAATGCAACATGTCCACATAAGCTCTATTGCAGTGGCATTACACTGGTGTTAGACCAAGACTGGGTCCTGATTACTAAACACAGGTCCTCCACCTGCTCTGTATCTGTATCACCATGTATCTAGTCAAAACAGACAAATGAAAATTAAACTAAGTGGTTTATTTATAAATCTAAGGAACAAACATAAATTAAATCTAGTTGTCATAAAATCAAGGCTGAAAAACCAGAACCCCGTAACAGAACAACCCTACTACCATCCCAACGTTGGAGCTGGAAAGGTAAGTGGATGCCTTCGGACTGAAAAACTGCAGCGGAGGCAGAAACGGGCTACAGGGGCCCTCTTCCTTGATCTTCAGTCTTCTATTCTTGACACTCCGTCCTGAGTGTGGTATGTGGACCCTCAACCAAATGGATAGTGTGCATGCGTGTAAGACTCGTCTCATTATGAACCCCAAACTAACAAACTAAACCCCATGCCAACAGTCACTACGCTGGATATAAAATACAACTGACTTCTGCCTAAGCAATCTAAAAGGCCAAACAGCCTACTGGCTATCACCCTAGCACTGCTTTGCTCAAGCATCCTAAAAGACCAAGCAGTCTGCTGGCTGCTGCCCTAGCAATGCTGACTGGCTTCTGTCTCAGAGGCCTTCAAGGCCTGACAGTTGATACCTGTCACCCTAGCACCATTTAGCTGTGCTGCTGACATGCACGCAGAGAGCCCTGAAGGGAGAGTGAGCGCCTCCTATAAATGCTTTGGTTGCTGGGCTGATTAGAGTCACGTGCCCAGTTTCCCCTGCCTCTACCTTCCTCCTGACAGGAGATGGTGACCAAGAAGCTAGCTGCCATCTTAAAGAGAGAACACAAAATGGAGGGCAGAGGATACAAAATGGAGCACATATTAAAAAAAACCTCAGCACTCCTCCCCAACACTTGTGCCCCCACAATTGGCACCTCTCCCACAAAGATTTCAGATATTTGTGCACGTTTGTAAGCTAAAGGTATGGGCTACTAGATCACTTTTCTACAGTGTCCTTGCAACAATTGCCAGCTAGTCCAAGAAGATAGCAGGCTAGGCCAGACTGCTATGGTGACAACATGGAGTAACCTGGGAGAAGGGAAATTCGCAGTTATCTTTTTCTAGTGATTCCATCACTTTGGATGGGCTTCTGGTAACAGGGGCTGCAGGTAGAGGCAGTTGCATTGGTGAGGAAAGTCACTGAGAAATGGAGTAAAATGGCAGGTTAAGTCAGGCAGCACAAACACACCCTCTTTGAGAAAGCTGGAAGGAATGCAGACTGAGGACACAAGATCCTCAGGCTGCCATAAAAATAAGTCCAGTAGCTTCCAATTTGTGGAAATTCAATTTGTTGAATGTTTCTGGAAGTCTGTGAGAGGAAATTCTTCCAGGCAAAAGCTCTCTGCTCTGGAGAGCAACAAGCCTAAACAGCTGTAGTTGGAGGCCAAGTAAATGGAGGGTTAGAGTGCAGTGCTGCAGCATTCCAGGGAAGTGAGTCTGAACTCAGAGTAGTACGTGGGTGAGGACAGCCTAAACTATGGTGGAATGAGCAGTTCTGACACTATGAGTGATGTCCAGGGCAGTGGATGAGAAATATTTGTTTATGGATGTCACTTATAAGTAATGCTTTACCCTTGCTTGCCAAGTCTGAGAAGTTCTGGTTTAATTAAAAAATCATTAAAGATGTATTTCTACAAAGTTCATCTTCTCACAATCTTCCTACTGTGACTTATTCTTCTATTACTCTTTTTTAAAGACTGGGCCTCTTCTTTTCTAGCCCTCCTCTCTGGCATTTTTTTCCTCCATTTTTTTTTCTGATTCTCTTCATTTTAATTCCTTCTCAAATCTACTCTTTTATTCTGTTCTCAATTATACCAATGGTAATGACATCTTCTCTCTTCCACCAGCTGTTATGTGTTTGTATTACTGGTGACTGAAATCATGAGTATTCTGAGCTATTACCCTTACTCTTCAGTTTGGATACAAGAGTCTATATAAGTGTAACTGTATCATTATAAATAAAGATTAAAATAAGCACCAGGTATTTTCAGTTGATCACAACAATGGAATCACATTCACAGTATTGTGTAATTTGGTTGGTGAAGTCCAGGACTTGGAACGCTTGACAGTATTTCACTGTTTGAAAAGTTATTGTTTCTTCAGCTGCAGCCACATTCATCTCCCTAGGAAGCTTGCCAGTTTCAAAGGAGAATGTGGGTGGTGCACATTTGAACTGTGTTTTTAGTAGCAATGTGATTTCCCTAATCACTCATATAAATTCATGTATAATTCAGGTAGCAGGGCTGTTTTGGAAC